GTGGGGGCCTGTTCCGACAAAGTCCTGGGATCAGTCCTGGTTTTTTGTCCTGATGGTTTAGTCCTGGATCAGTCTTGGGATCAGTCCTGGTTTAGTCCTTCTGGTTCACTCCTGGGATCAGTCCTGGTTTAGTCCTGGATCAGTCCTGGGTTCAGTCCTGGTTTAGTCCTTCTGGTTCACTCCTGGGATCAGTCCTGGTTTAGTCCTGGATCAGTCCTGGGTTCAGTCCTGGTTTAGTCCTTCTGGTTCACTCCTGGGATCAGTCCTGGTTTAGTCCTGGGATCAGTCCTGGTTCAGCTCTGGTTTAGTCCTCCTGGTTCAGTCCTGGGATCAGTCCTGGATTAGTCCTGGATCAGACATGGGATCGGTCCTGGTTTAGTCCTAATGGTTTAGTCCTGGGATCAGTCTTGGGATCAGTCTTGGGATCAGTCCAGGTTTAGTCCTGGTTTAGTCTGTTTGTGTCGTGCCTCCCCAGTGGCTCTTTTTTTGTGTGTAATTTGTATGTGAGACACTAGAGGTCACTATCGACCAATGGTTTGTGATTATCAGTTTTTTTCTCAGCTCTCGGGCATTTGTATTTTCCTTTTGATTTATCCTTATAACCACTCAGAGTTATTGTTTAGTTGAATTGGGAATTTATGATTTATTCTGTTATGTAATAAACCCTTTGGTTTATTATTGCACTTACTTACATTTACTTTATTAAAGCCACTTAATTTACATCACATCTTGTTTGTGTTACTTTCTTTTGTCCCTGGTGATCTGTGTTTGCAAATCTGTGCCTTGTGTCACCATGGAAACTGCTGAACGTTCCACCACATCACACATTAATGTAGAAATGAAAAAAACTAAAAATATTCAAACTACAAGCCTGTAATATGAAACCTAAACGTGCTGTACCTGACTTTTACTGTCTAGAAAATATGAAAACCAGAGCTAGTTTGCAGTGGTCCAACTTCACAGAGAACTTGGTCCAAGCAGGAATCGATCTGACCTTCAGCCGGGAGTGTTCAGACCAGCGAGCCACGTTATTTATTCACCTAAATGAGTTAGTTATGTAAGACCTTTTCATCATAACTTTCAGGGACCGGAGCGGAGCTTTGCGACGCTACAACAATAGCTGGCATGCTGACAACACACTTCTGGTTTGGGGATGATAAAAACACTTTAATGTTAAGATGTAGACACTTTACTTATTTTACTTTATGATGAAAAAGAAAAATGGCAGTACATTTAATAAGCACTGAACGCATATTTTTATCTTATAGTAATGTAGTTTTGTGCAAAATTTAAGGTTCTATATTACAGAAAATTGACTCTTGTGAGCGTTAAGGCATGTTAGAATGTTGTGACCTCCTCAAAAGCAGACCTGGAGTTGTGTTTTGTTTCATTCCGTCATGCAAATCCTGGAAAAGTCATAAAAATTGAAAATGTCATTTTCCAAGCCTGAAAAAGTCATGGAATTTCAGGCCCCGTCCACACTAGTACGTATTCGAATCGTTTTCGTTGTGGATGCAGTGTTCGTTCACACTAATCCGATTGAAAACGGCTCCAGGGATGGAACGATCTGGTGCCGCCAGCTCCCACGAATTCATCTGAGTACAGATCTGATCCGGGACTGTGTGGACGCCTAAAAACACTGATACACTGATGTAGGTCTATGCGCCGCGAAGTACAGGTGCATTTTGATATTAAAAGGAATCACAGTATGTGTTACTCAGCAATGCTCCTGACTACGGGAGCCGTAATGCTGCAAGTGGTGCGGCTTTGTAATTTACTAAAGTCGTACTAAGACACCCCAATAAATTCATGTATAAGGTGCACTGGATTATAAGGCGCTCAGTCGTTTTTTGATTAAATTAAAGGCTTTTAAGTGCGGCCTATAGTGCGGAAAATGCGGTACATCGGGGAAACAGGGAGGGCGTTCAGTACACAAAAAAGGAACATAGGACAGAATGCGAGAAAGGAAACAGCGAAGGCGAAACATGAGCAACAAAACACAAAGCAGAACAGGAACTCAAATCGGCATCTCTGACAACTGTAAAAGAGAGAAGCACATTATGGACTGGGACAGAGCAAACATCATTGGAACAGAGGAAAACAAACACCGTCGCTGGATTAAAGAGGCAATCGAAATACGGAAACGTGCCCATGGAGATTATAAACCGGGACGAGGGGGCTTTTTTGCTCTCACACACCTGGGATACTGTCATGAGGAAGTGGGACTGCAGATGTTTGCCTGTTTAAATGAGCTGACGGGACACGTCACAGCAACATCAGGTGACTCTGAGGAAACTGTCAGCTATGAAAAACAAACTCTTGGTCTGAAAAAAAGAAGCTAATAACATCCAGGTCTGTTTGTGATGAGGGAACGACATTACAACAGATCAGAAACTAGAGTAATATTGGCCCTTTAACGCGAATGTCCTCATAAAACGTATAGAATTCTGTAAAATGTACAGAACTCACTGAGCACCAATAATCCAGTGTACTGTCTGAACGGCTGGTAAGGGGATACATTACTCAACATCTGTGCAGTGTAATTGTAGTGTCTTGAACAGTAGAGCTGTGGCGCCCTCTGCTGGAGACAACAACAACAACAACAACAAAGGAGCTTTAGAATGTACTTGATGATTAGTGAAGGAAAATACTATATATTTTCCGGATATATTGTGAATTCTAGTCAAATGCAAAGCTTTTAATTCAATTTAATTTTATAAAGAGACAATATTAAGGTATTTTCTGATCTCTGTTATTACATTTCGTTTTGTAATGTGTCTGTGAGTTTGAGTTCTTCTCTCAAATGGAAACACTCTCTTCCACCTTGTGATGTCATGTGGTAATACAGGAAGTGCTCCACTCTGTTTTTACACTCCACGCACCTTCGCTAGAATCATTTGGATCATTTCAGCCCTGGAATTTCCAAACTCTCCCAAACAAAAAGGAGCTGTTAACTTTAAAACTACGACTTCTCCTTCACAAGGTGCATTTTGAGCTTTGGAGACGTAGGCCCCGTTTACACATACACAATTTTTAAAAACAGATATATTTCCCTTCGTTTGTACCCATCTTTTACATGCAAGAAGCGACTCTGCCTCTGAAAACGAACCTTTCTAAAAACTTCGGCTGCAGTGGAGATTCTGGAAAACTACGATTTGCATTTGCGCACACAGCTGATGAATCATATCTATATCGAACAGAGACGAATGAGGCTTAGTAATTTTACCACTTCTCCCTCCTTCTCGAAGACCCAGTCGCCCTTACCGCCAATATCGCCGGTTTTATATCTGACCTCGACCTCGATTTTGGGTCCGACCAGTGCTCGATGGCGTATTTATGCAGGCTGATGTAAATGAAAACTTTTTTTGAAAACGTTGCTATGTTCACGATGTTATTTTGGAAAACTGACTCAACATACCCGGCTCTGTGTAAACGTAGCTGTAGACACACTGATAATAAAAGATTGCTCAGACTTGTTTGTGTGTATCAGCAGTAGAGGGCGCCGTGGGGTGGGTTGTATTTTTGAGGACCCCTCCTGTGTTCCTCAGGTGTTGCAATCCGGTGAAACACACAGTTTGTTGACGCCGTGCTTGGAGTCTTTGTACGATTTGAACCTTTTTGATCCATAGATGAACTTTTAACTTTTGTAACTAATAACCCCATTTGTGTGCACTGTTGGGCAAGTTACATTAAAACTGTAATGCGTTATTTATTACTTATTACTGTCATTTCACAGTAATTCGTTACATTACAATATTACTGCATTTAAAATGTAAAGCATTACATTACTATTGCATTACTTTAAGTTACTCTCACCAAAATAACTGCGAAAAAGCTTAACTTTTGAGCCGTATATGGACTGAACCAGGACTAAACAAGGTCTAAACCAGAGCTGAACCAGAGCTGAACCAGGACTAAACCAGGACTATAACAGGACTAACCTCAGACTGATTCCAGGACTGAAGAGGAGGACTAAACCAGAACTGAACTAGGACTAAAACAGGACTCACTGTCAGGACGGGGTCGAAGGTGACCGCAGGAGAAAGGACCGGCTTTGCTCCGCACCTCATGGAGGTAAGAGCGACTGTCGCCTGATCGCTCTTTATGGACCCTGCTGCTGCTCAGGCTCACGGTCCTGATTTCAGCAACTATTTGCGGGTACAAGACCCGGTGCAAAACTCTGCTACAGCGCGTAACTTCTACCTTCCTTCAGTGTGTCCAGAAGTCCAACTTTTTGTGCGATGGTTTGCATCGTCCTCTGTCTTTTGGGTGCGAGCGCAGGAGACTTTGTCGGTGCAGAACATTTCGTCGACGTTGTGGATTTTGTCGGAGAAAAACTTGCAGACATACAGCACTTCAGAATCACACTGCTAGAGACTGAACATTTATTTAAATTTGGCAGCTGAACATATTCTGTACTGTACTGTTCAGGAGACAGGAGTCCCTCAGCCGATCAGGACACAGCGGGAGGAACGCAATACGTGTTCATACACTAAAAACAAAAGGCATGCAAAATTGCACAAAAAAAAAATTTTCTAAAATCAGCGAAACAGCGAGACCGCGAAAAGTGAATCGCGTTAGAGCGAGGGACGACTGTAAGCCAGGTCTAAACCAGAAGTGACCCAGGTCTAAACCAGGTCTAAACCAGGTCTAAACAGCTAAACAGCGTAGAGTTCTGGGTCGGTCCTTTCACCCGCGGTTAACTGAAGGTTTATCCGGCCGCGTCTCCGGCGTTTCACCGCTGCTGATTTCACGGTGATTTTAGCGAATTTCTATGAAGAAAAACCCACCACTTCAATCCAGGTTAAAAAAGCATTGTAACGCGCAGTACTCACATTTGTACCGAGTAAAATATTAAAATTTTTCCCCCTGTAATGCCTTACATTACTGCGTTACAGCAAAAATCAACGCATTACTGTAATACATTACTTTTATAATACATTACTCCCAACACTGTTTGTGTGCATGCATTTGTGTGTGTGTGAGTGTGTGTGTGTTACCTGCTCCTCTTTAGTGTAGAGTTGGAAGCACTGGTCCAGGGTGCAGCTGTGGTTCTGGTTCTGCTGGGCCCTGACGCTGTCTGCCTCCTTCACCACCTCCTCCTGGATGTTCCCAAACAAACTGAAACACAACACACAATACTCACAAACCAGACCAGACCAAAGACCAGACCAAAGACCAGACCAAAGACCAGACCAAAGACCAGACCAAAGACCAGACCAAAGACCAGACCATCAGACCATAGACCAGACCAAAGACCAGACCAGACCAAAGACCAGACCAAGACCAGACCAGACCAGACCAGACCAGATCAGACCATAGACTAGACCAGACCAAAGACCAGACCAAAGACCAGACCAGACCAGACCAGACCAGACCAAAGACCAGACCAAAGACCAGATCAGACCATAGACCAGACCATAGACCAGACTCAGACCAGACCAGACCAGACCAAAGACCAGACCAGACCAGATCAGACCATAGACTAGACCAGATCACAGACTAGACCAAAGACCAGACCAGACCATAGACTAGACCAGACCAAAGACCAGACCAAAGACCAGATCAGACCATAGACTAGACCAGACTAAAGCCCAGTCCAGACCAAAGACTAGGCCACAGACCAGACCAGATCAGACCATAGACTAGACCAGACCAAAGACTAGTCCAGACCAAAGACTAGACCAGACCAAAGACTAGTCCAGACCAAAGACTAGACCAGACCAAAGACTAGACCAAAGACCAGACCAAAGACCAGTCCAGACCAAAGACTAGACCAGACCAAAGACCAGTCCAGACCAAAGACTAGACCGAAGACCAAACCAAAGACTAGTCTAGACCAAAGACTAGACCAAAGACCAGACCAAAGACTAGTCTAGACCAAAGACTAGACCAAAGACCAAACCAAAGACTAGACCAGACGAAAAAGACTAGTCTAGACCACAGACCAGATCATAGAGCAGACCAGTTCATAGACCAGTCCAGACCACAGACCAGACGATAAACCAAGTCTAGACCATAGACCAGAACACAGACCAGACCATAGACCAGATTATAAACCACGACCGGACCATAGTCCAATTCAGACCATAGACAAAACCAGTCTATAGACCAGTCCGGGCCATTGCTCAGATCAGTCCAGACCATAGACCAGTCCATAGACCTGACCAGTCTGTAGGCCTGACCATAAATCAGTCCAGACCAAACACTAGACCAGACAAAAGACCAAACCAGAACATAAACTAGTATAAACCATAGACCAGATTATAGACCAGTCCATAGCTCAGACCAGTTTGTAGACCTGACCATAAGCCAGACCAGTCCAAACCAAAGACTAGACCAGACCAAAGACCAGTCCATAGACCAGACCAGGTGATCAAAACTGTGAACAAACCATACAAGTCATTTATTATAAATTATGTCAAAATCTTGTTTTCTCTCGATCTTGTGTCTTGTCTATAATTGGAAATCTGTCTCACTGCTTCCCTAATAATAGATTCCAAATTCCCAAATCCGCCAACATATTTAATTTAGTCAAACAAAAAAATCTAATATCACCTCCCGGAATAACACACTTCAGTTTAATGATTCCCTAAGACCAGCAAATAGATGAAATTAAACACATATTAGTTACTTTTTACACTGTATTATTACTGAAATGTTATTTTTGTGATAAAATACGTCTTTAATTCAATTTCTGATACAATCTAGGAGTAGTGGCACAAAAAGCTGATGGTTTTCTTCTCAGCTTTGGGGCCTCCTAGTGGTTTGTGGGGCCCGTGGATGTGGATGGTCTGATTAAAGCTGAGGAGAATGACTCGGAATAAGTTTTTTGTATTATGTCCAGCGGGGGCTTCTTACTCAGGGCTGCAGAATCCCTCACTATTCAAACGAACTTTAGAGAGCAAGTTGAAGTAAACAAAAAGGTTAACAAGTGCGTAAAATTTAGTAGAAACTCAAAAGACGTTGAAAAGAAGATTAAACATTACGCTTTTTTCTGCTCTGTTCTGATATTATAATGTTTTCTCATCACAAACAGACCTGGAGTTGTGTTTTGTTTCATTCACACACGTTTAACGCACAAACTCTGCATTTTTAGGCTAAGTTCTTCTCACAAGCTGAAAAACACACCACCTTGTGATGTCATAGGGTAAAACAGGAAGGGTTTCACTGTGTTTTTAAACTCCATACACCTTCACTAGAATCATTTGGATAATTTCACCGCGGGAATTGCCAAGCTCTACAAAACAAAAGGTAAAAGGAGCTGTTAACTTGAAAACTACCACTACTTGACATCACAAGGTGGAACAGAGCCTTTTGAGCTCTGAAGATGTAGACTGAGGCTGCCTTCAGACTTCAGCCTGAAGTGACCCAAATCCGATTTTTTGGCCTCTATGTGACCTGTATCTGATCTTTTAATGACAGTCTGAACGACACAGATCCGATTTTTTCAAATGTGACCCAGGACACTTGGATATGTGCTCCTAAAACCGATACATATCTGATCTTTTGACATGCGACTTCAGTCTGAACGGCCAAAGCGCATTCATCCGACCTACACGTTATCAACAAGTCACAAACGTCACTATTCTGCGCTGAAGTAGGCGAAAATTGTTAATGAACTCCGTGTCACTGAAGTGAAGCACATCACCACTCACCACTCTTGGCTCCGTCTCCACATCCACACGTTCCTTTCAACGGACATCGCTGCCGCTGCCCCACAAAACACCACGGCCAAAAACCTCGTCCTTCTCCTTCTCAATCTCCTCCTTAAAACATGTAAGTTGTTCATGTTCTGGCTCCGGTACGAGAGGAACTTTAAAATCTCCAGGTGCTCGATGCTCACGTCCATGTTTGGACAACTTCTGTAAACACAGAGCACGATCGCTGCGGTTGACGTCATCGTGTCTCCAGTGCACATGCGGGACACTTTCGGGCCGTTTACTGTTCACACAGGGGATCGAATACAAGTCACATTTAATTGGAAATGTGAACGACCTCGCAAAAACATCGGATTTCACAAAAAAATCGGAATTGAGCATTAAGCCCTGCAGTCTGAACGTAGCCTTAGATATGTGCTCCTAAAACTGATACATATCTGATCTTTTGACATGTGACTTCAGTCTGAACGGCAAAAGCGCATTCATCCAACCTTCACGTTCAACAACAAGCCACAAACGTCACTATTCTGCGCTGAAGTAGGCGAAAATTGTTAATGAACTCCGTGTCACTGAAGCGAAGCACATCACCACTCACCACTCTTGGCTACGTCTCCGCATCCACACGTTCCTTTCAACGGACGTCGCTGCCGCTGTCCCACAAAACACCACGGCCAAAAACCTCGTCCTTCTCCTTCTCAATCTCCTCCTTAAAACAAGTAAGTTGTTCATGTTCTGGCTCCGGTACGAGAGGAACTTTAAAAGTTCCGTAAACACAGAGGACGCTCGCTGTGGTCGACGTCATCGTGTCCTCCAGTGCACATGCGGGACTCTTTCGGGCCGTTTAACGTTCACAACGACGTCACATTTAATTGGAAATGTAAATGACCTCGCAAAAACATCGAATTTCACAAAAAAATCGGAATTGAGCGTTCAGCCCTGCAGTCTGAACGTAGCCTAAGGGTCACCAAACCTTTTACTCTGAGGGCCACATTATTGCTTCTGACTGCGATGGGGGCCGGGGTCGGGTCGGCCGTACAACAGAACTGTATGACCCTGACCAAAATGACACCAGCAGGCCTCATTGTGTAGTAGAAATTACTAGCCTGGCATGGTCATCCACAGTACTATAATAACACATAATTCCTGGCACATATTTGTTTATTTTTTTAATAGGGATGTAACAATAACTGAAATATCGTGACATCATATCGTCAAAGTTCTCACAATAATATCGTGGACCATCACAATATATCGAATTACAAGTCTCTTTGCTTAAATGAAGAGTTATGGTGCAGCAGTAGCTAAAAAAAGACAGAGGGAACTACATAGACCATGATCCTTTGCTCCATTTCAGTGCAGACCACATGAAGAAATAACAGTTCTAACACTTTTAGGTCTTAGTTCTTTGGATTAAGTCTTGTCAAGGCATTTTAAGAGGAAAAACTGTTTTGTTCGCCTCCACAAAATATCTAAATAAATATCGTACCGTGAGATGTATATCGTGAAAATATCGCACCGAGAGATTTGGATATTGTTACATCTAATCGTGAGCTTTCCCACGATATCGCAAATAAATATCGTATCGTGAGGTTCATACCGTGATGATATCGTATCGTGAGACTTGGATATCTTTACTAGTGGTTTGCAAAAGTATTAAGTACTTTTGCACACTTTGTTTTAATTTGAAATACCACAGATATTCCATTTATTGCAATAACTGCACAAAAGAAAAAATTATCAGAGGATTAGCAGGTAAAAAAATAAAAATAATAATAACAATAATAATGCATTTTAATTAAAGGCGCCTTTCAGGACTCTCAAAGCTGCCTTACAGAAAAGCAATAAAATCACAAAGCTACAAGGTAAAAACAATAAAACACACAGAGGACACAAGAGGAAACCAGACAAACAATCAGTATTTTATGGGTCCAGGAAGTTTAGGTCTCGCAGGCCAGTTTGAAGAGATGAGATTGTAAATGGGTTTTTAAGGACGATGGGATGACGGGAGAGAGCTCCAGAGACACCGGGCGACGGGAGGCGTGGTCAGTCTGAGCGACCTGCCGGGTCCATCAGGTCTGACCACGCCTACAGGAAGTAACAACAGCTGATATACGACACGTCACCACCAACACCGGTGACAGTTCTGAAGATGGCTCGCAGCCGAAACATGTCAACAAGGTAAATACACTGTCAGAATAATTCTATTATCCCATATTTGCTAAATACTTGTGTGATATTCTAGGCCTATGAGTTAACCATTTATGTAACAATTCTTTGATTTATAATGTACCAATCACTATATGAATAACCTCTTTGTGTTTGACAACTGTGTGCAGTGTCCTATCGCTCTTGTGTTCCTCGAGATGATTCCTCACATGAAGCCAACTCCCACTGTCACACATGCAAGAGTTATGATGGTGTCTGACTATACCTACTGATTGTTAATCATGTTTTATGTGTTTGGACTATGCATAGCTGCATCAGTTTCTTATTATGTCTTGGCTGTTTCCCCTTCCCCTTGAGAATTATATTCTGTAACTAGGGCCTCCAAATGAAATAAAAGAAGAGCGGCCTTGAGTCATCAGAACGTGTGGAGACTGTTGGTTTTGATGCCCACTCTCTGCCCGTTCTCCTCAAAAAACTGAATTAATCTCTTGTCTTTCTTCTTGTTTTAAATGTCTAGATAAACCTAACATACACTTTACTGCATTGTCTTTAAAAAGAACCCAAGAAGTTACTGAGCTCCAGAGTCGAGGAGGCGCGAGATGGTGAACGTCTTTGTATGTGAGAAGAAGAAACAGCACTGCACAAATACAAATCGTACCAGTCTTTAATGCGATGCTCCCACTCCACGATGAGCTTCACGTGAGGAGGTCCACCTGATCCACACATCTTCAGAGCTCTGCAAAACACAAAAATCACAAACACGAATGTCATTATTAATACATTTGTCTATTAGATTTTTCTGTTAAAGGTCCAATTATATTTTATCACGCAAAACTGACTCTTGAGAGCTTTAAGACTTGTTTTAATGCAGTTACCGCAACAAAAACAGACCTGGAGTTGTGTTTTGTTTCATTCACACATGCGACACAAAACTCATCATCCGCCCGCTGTCCATTTTGCACCGAAGGTTTTCAAAACCGCACCCGCCCCCCATCCGCCGATTGATTTTAGATTTTAGAACAATCATACAGCAAACAAACTAAGGAGCCTCGATAAAAATGCAAACTCTATAGCTCATTCATTCCAAAATTCGCTCAGCGTGTATGTTCGCATTCTTAATTGTCCGTAACAACCCCAGACTTACCTGGTTTTCTTGCGCAGCTAATTAATTGACAACATTTTACGACTAGGCTATTTTTGATGTTGTTACATTCTGAACATTCTGCGATTGCCCGATGTTATTTCAAAGTCATAGCCTCACTCCATCGGTCTTTCTTTAAGTTTTAAATCCCCCGAGTGGCAGTCTACGCTATAATGTCTGCGTGTTTTAAAATATAACTGATATCGAAACAAAGTAGACAGATCATCTCATCCAGATGAACCTTTATTGAAATCAGGCAATGCCCTCTTTATATTCCAATTGAAATAGGCAAGAAAAAATATGCATAACTAAATAAATATGGCCCTATAGCCACTTGGGTGTTGGCAAACAGCTGAAATAAATTAGAAATAATAAAATAAACTGCATATAATATGTGCCTCTAAACCTTAGGTTATCAATAACCCGACACAATCTTAAACTTCAGAACACAAAAACGAGGTCAAATGGGCTAATTAAGGACATGACGTACACTTCATACTACAAGCATAGACAATGAGACTCGTCTTTTCAGATGTAGGTAAAAATACTAACAATAACTTTTTTTTTTTTCTTTTTTTTTTTAGTAGTTAAACCGCCACCCGCCCGAATTTAATAAAAATATAATTTTTCGTCACGTCATCCGCCCGACCCGTGGATTAACCGCGGATACGGCATCTCTAGTAGAAATACACTGCAATTTGTAAAAAAAAATAATACGCCGAATCAATCTAAAAACCACTTCGGCGACATATACAAGGCCCACACATCACTCTTAGAAGGTAGAAAGCTCTGAAAAGTTGATTTTGCATGAGATGGGCCCTTTAAAGGCTTCTACAGTGTTAGACTTTTAAAAATCATCACTCAGATTTTTATTTATTTTTTTTAGTTCTTATCGTCATTTTTTTTAAAAGATACCAGTTTTTATTTTCATTTTTGGTCGTACAAACTAACAAAAATGATAAAGAAGGCACAAAATGTATCGTTTATTGTATCACAATAAAAGAAAATGCTAAATAAAAGCATGCGTTTACTGTTTAGTAATAGTCGTGGTTTAATTGTGAAGACAATATATCAAGTCGTCTAAGTATTTCTGTAAGATTTGATGTTTTTTTTTTTTTTTTTAAAGTGCACCAAGTTAGTACAAGTTTTGATAAGTCTACTGTTTTTAAAAATCATTTGACCTCTCACGTCCCTTTCCCAGTCCCTGTTCTGTAATATTAAGTTATATTATATCATATTATATTATATTAAGTATAAATTTTAGTTATCTACATTTTTACTCCACTACATTTTTGAACTGGACTGAAAAGTAAAAGTATTTTTGTATTATAGTTTGAGATCTGCTGAAAAGGCCGAGGGTTTATTTTTAACACTTTCAAAATTTGATTTCAGCACAAATCTTCATCAAAATAACTACATTTGAAGCATTTTATGATCTCAAAATCAGAGTGAAATACTTCTACTTTTTATTCTTCAAGTGAATTTTTAAACGGGTACTTTACACATTTTCTTAATTAGATTTTTTCATGTGATACATTTACTAAAACTGCACTATGTCGCCTTTTGGTTGGGGGTCTGTCACCTTTATATTGTTTTTTGAAGTGCATCAAGTTAGTCCAAGTTTTGATAAGTCTACTGTTTTTTAAAATTCATTTGACCTCTCAGGTTGTATTTGAATTCGTTTGTGCAATCTTCAATCTTTACTACTGAATATTGTTGTTGTGTCCTGGGGCAAGACACTCATCTGATCTTTATGAATAAAAAGTTTGATTTATTATTAGTCTTGCATTAACTGTGTAGCTGCATTCACTTGTACTGACGCTTCGAAACCAGCAGATGGCAGAGTTGTACAAAGGAAAGAGTGGAACATGGCATTTGTTTATCCAGCACATGAATTAAGTCCAGTGAAAAAGTGAATTGTCTTTTAATTAAATATTTTAGATGCCACAAATACATAATTCATGCATTTATCATGTTCAAATGTAATAATTACCAATGCTGAGAAGTTCATTGGGTTTCCTGGTCCCTGTTCTACTCTGTTCTGTTATTTTATGTTATATTAAATTAATTATACATTTTAGATATCTACGTTCTATCTACTCCACTACATTTTTGACTATTCAACTCAACAGTTTTCTTCATTATTTGTCTCCAAAACCAAAATGAAAAAACAGATAATGATTTGTTTTTTCAGTTTTCGATTTTGTGTTTAACTAAATTAATTATAGAAAAAATGGATAATGTCCGTTTCCCGTTTCTGTGACTTAAACTGCAATGTCGGACTGAACCAGGACTAACCCAGGTCTAAACCAGGTCTAAACCAAGACTGAACCAGGACTGAACCAGGACTAAACCAAGACTGAACCAGGACTGAACCAGAACTAAAACAGGACTAAAACAGGACTGAACCAGGACTGAACCAGGACTAAAATAGGACTAAAACAGGACTGAACCAGGACTGAAACCAGGACTAAAAGGACTAAAACAGGACTAAAGGACAGGGACTGAACAGGACTGAACCAGGACTAAAATAGGACTAACCAGAAACCAGGACTAAAACAGGACTGAACCAGGACTAAACTAAAACAGGACTAACCAGGACTAAAACAGGACTGAACCAGGACTGAACCAGGACTAAAACAGGACTAAAGCAGGACTAAACCAGGACTGAACCAGGACTGAACCAGAACTAAACCAGGACTGAACCAGGACTAAACCAGGACTGAATCAGGACTGAACCAGGACTGAACCAGGACTAAACCAGGTCTAAACCAAGACTGAACCAGGACTAAAACAGGACTAAACTAGGTCCGGGACCAGACCGGAACCAGACAGGGACTGAGACCAGGACTTAGACCGGGACCAGATCGTGACTAAGACCGGGACTGAGACCGGTACCAGACTGGAACTGAAAATTGGTTAGTCCAGGTTCAGTCCTGGTTCAGTCCTGGTTTAGTCCTGGTTCAGTCCTGGTTCAGTCCTGGTTTAGTCCTGGTTTAGTCCTGGTTCAGTCCTGGTTCAGTCGTCCTGGTTTAGTCCTGGTTCAGTCCTGGTTCAGTCCTGGTTTAGTCCAGGTTCAGTCCTGGTTCAGTCCTGGTTTCAGTCCTGGTTCAGTCCTGGTTCAGTCCTGGTTCAGTCCTGGTTTAGTCCTGGTTCAGTCTGTCATTGTAGTTTAAATTACACATAATCGAAAACTGAAAAAAACAAATCATTATCTGTTTTTCATTTTGGTTTTGGAGACAAATAATGAAGAAAATAGTTGTTTTTTCATTTCCTTATTTTAGTTTTATTTGGAAAAACAAATGAACGAATGATACACGGATTTGGGTCGCCTCTCCACAGACCTGACCTGTAACTTGGTCTGGTTTGAAGATAGAAAAATGTAATGCCACACTGTGAAACATTCCAGACAAAGCATTTGGCCAGAAAAAGTTACAGTAATGCACCTTTAACGAACAAAACTGAATACTTGTTCCATACGCGGCAGCAGATAGTGAAGGTTCATTTGGGGACAGTTTTGTGAACACTACCGGAGCATTGATCTGTATGAAGCAGTGTGCTGTGTCTGATTAGCATTTCAAAAGATCTCCAGAGAGTTTCAGCCAATCGCCGGGCAACATCCAAGGCCTGAAAGAGGTGCTCTGAACTGCTCCAGAACGCAGGGCTTTTAGGGAGCAGCCAAAACCACTGGCCAGAGGAAAAAGTCAAGTGTGAAATTTGACTGGTGTTTAAAAGAAGAGAGAAGTCAGAGCAGAGGTGTTAAAAGGGAACATGTTACACTGCTATTTTCTGACCTGTGTTATAATGTTGTTTCCTCGTCACAAACAGACCTGGAGTTGTGTTTTGTTTCATTCACACAAACCCTGCATCTGGGCCCAGTCAAGCAGAAGTAAACAGCAAGGCCAAAAATTCAAGTTAATGCATTTGATATAAAAATGTATTCAACAGATACATATGTACTCTAGTTTATGAAACTGTTGACCTTTTTTCTTTACCATTTTTGGTTCTAAAGTTACATACGTTTTAAACAGACCATGTATGAAACATGGAACAAAAATTATTTCCCAAATTTCAAAGACCTGAAAATCATGTAAATAAATGGATGTATTTCATCATATCTTGTGTTATTCCATCTTTGAACTGTTGATGAAGGTACATGATTTAAAAAAAAAAAAAGTATTTAAAATGATAAAAATTGCTTTGGAAGGACTGACATATTTTATAGAAATAGTTTCCTTTCATTTTGAAGTAATATTAAAGTATTCAGAAGAAAAAAGTTGACAAATTATGTAAAATCCTGCACCTTCTACTTGTTTGCACAATTTTCCCTCCGTTACTTTTCCCTCTGTTACCATGACCTTTCTTAATAAAAAATCTCATTACTCAAAAAGTAAGAGGTTTTTCAACCTAATCTTGTACCATATGGTAGAAAACTATATGAAGCAAATATTCAAACCAGTTTGTTAAGGATATGTAAGTGAGAACCAAGAGTTATCACTGTTTGGATTTATTGCCCAAAAAGTGCTGCATATTTCATTCCCTCCGTTACCGACATGAGTTTTAAATTTTTTGTCAACAACTTGAAAGAATATCACAGGTTTAACTTGACCCTGTTGGAGTGTAACTCTTTCCTACATTCTGATACTTTACTTATTTCAATAGTCCCTCTAGTTTCTGAATAAGAGACATTTGAATGTAAAAAATCTGCCCGTTTCCCTCCGTTACCACTTGACCGGACCCATTTGTAGGCTGAGTTCTTCTCTTAAACTGAAAACACTCTGTTCTGCTTTGTGATGCCATGTGGCAATGCAGGAAGTGCTCCACCGTGTTTTTAGGGCCTGTCCACGCCACGTTTTTTGGTCGAAACGATGAAGTCTGTATTTCGTCCATGCAGAGCCGGTGTTTTGGGTGGGCGACAACAGTGTTTTTTGAGAACGGGTTCCAGAGTGGAGAAATCTGAGAACACCGTTGCGTTGCGTTGTCCTGTGGACGAACAAACCAGAGCTTTTGGAAAACAATGATGTCGTGACCCCGTCATCGCCAGGGTCCTGCGATGCGGTGAAGGCTGCAGCCCTCGGACAAGCCTCCACGGACCACAAGACCGTCGCCGAAATGTGACAGGTGTGGTCGGAGCCGCTCCCGTCGCCCAGAAACAAAGACATACTGCTAACAACACGCACTGCAGATTACGCACAGGGATCAATAACAGCGATTACGCACAGATAATTAAACTGTTGGATTTCAAGACCATGTTATTCTAATAATTCTCATCCAAATCTTATGGCTAAAAATGAAAATTTATGTTTAACTTTAGAAAAACAAAACGCCTGTATTTCTGGGATACATCTAAAATCGACTAAATTACCTTAAAGTAAAAAAAATATATATAAAAAACGGTGATGAGATCTGAATGATTAAATATTATTATCATTGTTAACAGCGCCACATACAGGTGGGGCATATGTATTACATGAGGGGGCTTTTTTACTCTCACACACCTGGGATACTGGCCTGAGGAAGTGGGACTGTAGATGGCGCTGTAATCCTGCCTCCACCGGTAGGAAGACGGCGCCAAAACCTGAATAAATCAGCTGATCAACACGTCACAGCATCACGTGACTCTGAGGAAAACGCTAGTGAGCAGAAACAGAAAACAAACTCTTCGTCTGTGAAAAGAACCTAATAACAAAATATCGGAAGACCAAATGAACCTCACTGGACTATGTATTACATTGTTTTCACTCCGCGCTCCGTTGTTGTCTGGACGTGAATATTTTTTGATCCGACACGTGTGTGGACGCAAATTTTTTTCAGCCCTTAAAAGAAAAAATCCAGGAACGTTGTCGTGTGGACCTGGTCGTAAACTCCACGCACCTTCACTAGAATCATTTGGATAATTTCATCCGTGGACACTGTTGGGCAAGTTACTTTAAAAACGTAATGCGTTATTTATTACTTATTACTGTCATTTCAAAGTAATTCGTTACATTACAATATTACTGCATTTAAAATGTAAGGCATTACATTACTATTGCATTACTTTAAGTTACTCTCACCAAAATAACTGCGAAGATGCTGAACTTTTGCGCCGTATATGGACTGAACCAGGACTAAACCAGGTCTAAACCAGGTCTAAACCAGGACTAAACCAGAGCTGAACCAGGACTGAACCAGGACTATAACAGGACTAACCTCGGACTGATTCCAGGACTGAAGAGGAGGACTAAACCAGGACTGAACTAGGACTAAAACAGGACTAAACCAGAACTAAACCAGAACAAAACCAGGACTAAACCAGAACTGAACTAGGACTAAAAACAGGACTCACTGTCAGGACGGGCTCGAAGGTGACCGCAGGAGAAAGGAGCGGCTCTGCTCCGCACCTCATGGAGGTAAGAGCGACTGTCGCCCAATCGCTCTTTATGGACACCGTGCTCCGTGGGCTCACGGCCCTGATTTCAGCAACTATTTGCGGGTACCCGACCCGTGTAAGACTCTGCTACAGCGCGTAACTTCTACCTTCCTTCAGCGTGTCCAGAAGTCCAACTTTTTGTGCGATGGTTAGCATCTTCCTCTGCCTTTTGGGTGCGAGCGCAGGAGCCTTTATCAGTGCAGAACGTTTTGTCGACGTGGGTTTTGTCGGGGAGAAAACTTGCAAACATACAGCACTTCGGACGACTGTAAACCAGGTCTAAACCAGAACTGACCCAGGTCTAAACCAGGTCTAAACAGCGTAGAGTTCTGCGTCGGTCCTTTCCCTGCGGTTACCTGAAGGTCTACGCGGCCGCGTCTCCGGCGTTTCCCCGCTGCTGATATCGCGGTGATTTTAGTGAATTTGTATGAAGAAAAACCCACCACTTCAATCCAGGTTAAAAAAAAACATTGTAACGCGCAGTACTCACATTTGTACCGAGTAAAATATTACTATTTTTTCCCCTGTAATGCCGAACATTACTGCGTTACAGCAAAAAGCAATGCATTACTGTAATTCGTTACTTTTATAACGTTTACTCCCAACACTGTCCGTGGAATTACCAAATCTCTACTCAACTAGAGGTAAAAGTCGCTGTTAACTTGAAAACTACCACTACACGACATCACAAGGTGGAACAGAGCATTTTGAGCTTTGAAGATGTAGACAGTTAGGCCGTGCAATTAATTGAATTTTGATCACGATTTTGTATTGTGTGTGAGTTGGAACAATTTAAGACTAACAAAGTTTATTATAAGTGCATAAGTATATTTTATTTTATTTTTTAGATATAGAGATTGTAGAACAGCTGGATATATATTTTATTTTGGATACATTTCTGTTTTTCTGTGCCTTATTTCATGTTCAAAGTATATTTTATTCATTTTATGTTTTGTACATCACAAAACTGCTCTAAGGTTCATACTTGTAGACTATATTTATTTTCAATTTGAAAGTTTTGGTTAATTATCAGTAACAAAGTGGTTCTTTTTTTGAGAGAGAAATGCTGAATGAACACAATGTATAATAAAAAAATAATCATTTTTCCATAATCGAGCAGCCGTAAAACTAATACTGCAGGATTACTCAAATGAAACAAAAAACTCCAGGTACTTTTAATGAGGTACCAACATCATAACATGACTTCAAGCTTCAAGAGTCCATCTTGCGTAACTTAGGACTTTCATGTAAATATGTTACTTGCATAGAAGAAAAAATTACGCACAGTTACGTAAATGACAATGCTCTAAGTGAAACTACCATTATGCAAATACTTTCGCTCATTTTAAGTGTTCTGAAAACCTCCTGCGGACAATTGTAGAAAATGAGCATTTTTTTGTTGTAACACTTGAAACAATGCATCTGATTTGTCCAACTGTTATGTCCATAGCAACCAAAGTAAATAAAGGTCGATGTGAAAAAATACAGAAAATGTTCAAAATTGTACTTGGTTTTGGTAAAAATGTGGATATGCAACATGTGTTTGTTCTCACAGAATATCCCATACTAATTATTTAACCATTAAAAATATATGTATGTTCAAGATGTACAAACGAAAAATCTGTGTTTCATTCCTTCTGGACTTCTTACATACCTAAGTAGAATTAAAAATCGGGGAGGCATTGTGTCTGATATTTACGAAGATAAGTAGGTTACAGTGCAACTATGTTTTTTCCATTACAATGAAAACATATGGACGATAATCTGATCATCTGCTCTAATCTCACACTGTTGTGATTTATAAGAATGCAGATCATTGTACAGGCTTTGCCTCGCAACAAACACGTCACAGGTTCGACCTCTAGACAGTGTAGAGGTGCTTTTACAAGAATAACACATCAAGGTTTTTGAGTCATAAACGTACAGTGCTCCCCTCTCCTCCACAGAAGTACTTACAGATGTTTAGTATTAGCAGATGTTCAGTACTTGCAGGTGTACAGTACACACCTCTCCACAGTGGTGTTTACAGATGTACAGTACTTACAGGTGTTCAGTACTTGCAAGTGTTTAGTACTTGCATGTGCTCAGTACTTGCATGTGTACAGTACTTACAGATGTTCAGTACTTACAAGTGTACTGCACTCACCACTCCACAGCGGTGCTTACAGGTGTTCAGTACTTGCAGGTGTTCAGTACTTGCAAGTGTTTAGTACTTGCAGATGTTCAGTACTTACAGGTGTTCAGTACTCACCTCTCCACGGCGGGGTGGCAGAGCGGTCAGTACTTGCAGGTGTTCAGTACTCACCTCTCCACGGCGGGGTGGCAGAGTGGTCAGTACTTGCAGGTGTTTAGTACTCGCAGGTGTTCAGTACTTGCAGGTGTTCAGTACTCACCTCTCCATGGCGGTTTGGCAGAGTGGTCAGTACTTGCAGGTGTTTAGTACTCGCAGGTGTTCAGTACTTGCAGGTGTTCAGTACTCACCTCTCCACGGCGGGGTGGCGGAGCGGTCAGTACTCGCAGGTGTTCAGTACTTACAGGTGTTCAGTACTCACCTCTCCACGGCGGGGTGGCAGAGCGGTCAGTACTCGCAGGTGTTCAGTACTCACCTCTCCACGGCGGGGTGGCAGAGCGGTCAGTACTTGCAGGTGTTCAGTACTCACCTCTCCACGGCGGGGTGGCAGAGCGGTCAGTACTTGCAGGTGTTCAGTACTTGCAGGTGTTCAGTACTCACCTCTCCACGGCGGGGTGGCAGAGTGGTCAGTACTTGCAGGTGTTCAGTACTTGCAGGTGTTCAGTACTCACCTCTCCACGGCGGGGTGGCAGAGTGGTCAGTACTTGCAGGTGTTCAGTACTTGCAGGTGTTCAGTACTCACCTCTCCACGGCGGGGTGGCACAGTGGTCGGGCGTCTTGAGGGGACAAGTAGCTGTAGAAGGCGGATCCTCCCACCACTCGGATGTTGAACAGGACTCTGGCGTTCTGACCACACAAACAAACAGAGAAAAGAGATTATTCTGGAAAGTCCTCGTTATTTGATTTTGTTTATCACAGTTCTGCTTCAAAGAATTCTGGTTGCCGTTTTACATTTGAAGGCGCTGGCTTAAAACACTGAGAATTTATCCTACTCTGATTTAACTCCATCCAGTTTTTGAGTTTTACTGCCCTGCCCATTATGATGTTTTAAATCTTCCTTTGGATCAATTTTGGGTTTTCAAACTGTGTCACTGAACAACTTCTGCATGAATAAAGAATCACACTGTCTCATACAATCTAAGTACTTGCACTTGTCTCATAAGGAGTCTGGTCTGGTCCCGATCTGGTCCCGGCCTGAGTCCCAGTCTGGTCCCGGTCTCGGTCCCCGTCTCAGTCCCGGTCTCGTCCCAGTCTCAATCCCGATTGGGTCCCGTTCTCAGTCTGATCTGGTCCTGGTCTTAGCCCTGGTCTGGTCCTGATCTGGTCCCGGTCTAGTCCCAGTCTCAGCCCCGGTCTTGGTCCCAGTCTCGGTCCTTGTCTGGTCCTGGTCTCAGTCCCAGTCTCAGTCCTGATCCTGTTCTTGGTCTCAGTCCCTGTCTCAGTCCTGGTCCTGTTCTTGGTCTCAGTCCTGGTCTCAGTCCCCAGTCTCAGTCCTGGTCCTGTTCTTGGTCTCAGTCCTGGTCTCAGTCCCAGTCTCAGTCCTGGTCCTGTTCTTGGTCTCAGTCCTGGTCTCAGTCCCAGTCTCAGTCCTGGTCCTGTTTCTTGGTCTCAGTCCTGGTCTCAGTCCCAGTCTCAGTCCTGATCCTGTTCTTGGTCTCAGTCCTGGTCTCAGTCCCAGTCTCAGTCCTGGTCTCAGTCCTGGTCCTGTTCTTGGTCTCAGTCCCAGTCTCAGTCCTGGTCCTGTTCCTGGTCCTGTTCTTGGTCTCAGTCCTGGTCTCAGTCCCAGTCTCAGTCCTGGTCCTGTTCCTGGTCTCAATCCTGGTCTCAGTGCTGGTCTGGTCCTGGACCTGGCTTAGTCCTGGTTCAGTCCGTGTGCGAGTCACAGAAACGGGAAACGTCCGTTATCCATTTTTTTCCATTATTCAATTAAACACAGAATCAAAAACCGAAAAAAAAAAAAAACAAATCATGATCTGTTTTTTTTTCATTTTGGTTTTGGAGACAAATAATGAAGAAAATAGTTGCTTTTTCATTTTCTTATTTTTGGTTTTTATTTGAAAAATGAATGAACGAATGACACGGATTCTCCAGCTCAGGTAGTTCTGACCAAGACACTCTTAACATCTGGAGATGAGACTAAAGACGTCAGTATAAATTTACTTTTTTCAAATATAGTGTGAATATTTAAGGCTACAGTTTGTCTTGGGTGTTTTAAAATTTATGCTATAGTGTTGAAACGTGTGTGGAGCAGGAGTCACTCACAGCTCAGACGAAAGGCCCTCGGAGTGTGAACGTGTGAACATGTGAACATGTGAACATGTGAACATGTGAACATGTGAACATGTGAACATTTGATCCAAACACAGTTCACAGTTTAAAAAAAAAAGTGTCAGAATAAAGTGGTCCAGAAAACGTCATGTGGATCACGACACAAACATGAAGTGAAGCACACGGCGGCACAAGGATCAGCTGGAAAAACACTAGACCAGGACTAAACCAGAACTAAACCAGGACAAAAATCAGGACTAAAACCAGGTCTAAACCAGGAATAAACCAGGTCTAAACCTGAACTAAAACAGAGACTAAACTAGAACTAAAACCAGGACTAAGATGGGACTAAAATCAGGACTAAAACCAGGACTAAAACCATGTCTAAACCAGGACTAAAATCTGAATTAAAATCAGGTCTAAACCAGGTCTAAACCAGGACTAAAATAGGACTAAAATCAGGACCAAAACCAGGTCTAAACCAAAACTAAAACCAGGAATAAACTGGGACTAAAATTAGGACTAAAACCAGGTCTAAACCAGGACTAAATCAAAACTAAAACCAGGAATAAAGCAGAACTAAAACCAGGACTAAACCAGGTCTAAACCAGGACTAAACCAGGTCTAAACCAGGTCTAAACCAGGTCTAAACCAGGACTAAACCAGGACTAAACCAGAACTAAATCCAGGACAAAATCCAGGTATAAACTAGGTCTAAACCAGGACTAAAATCAGGATTAAAATTTGGTATAAATCAGGTCTAATCCAGGACTTAAACCAGGACTAAAACCAGGACTAAATCCGGACTAAAACCAGGTCTAAACCAGGACTAAATGAGAACTAAAATCAGGACTAAAATCAGGACTAAACCAGAAGTAAAACCAGGAAAAAAACAGGACTAAAATCAAAACTAAAACCAGGATTAAACCAGGTCTAATCCAGGTCTAAACCAGGACTAAACCAGGACTAAAATCAGGATTAAAATTTGGTATAAATCAGGTCTAATCCAGGATTTAAACCAGGACTAAAACCAGGACTTAACCAGAAGTAAATCCAGAAATAAACCAGGACTAAACGAGGACTAAAATCAGGACTAAACCAGGACTAAATCAGGACTAAAACCAGGTCTAAACCAGGACTAAATGAGGACTAAAATCAGGACTAAACCAGGACTAAATCAGGACTAAAATCAGGACTAAACCAGAAGTAAAACCAGAAATAAACCAGGACTAAACAAGGACTAAAATCAGGACTAAACCAGGACTAAATCAGGACTAAAACCAGGTCTAAACCAGGACTAAATGAGGACTAAAATCAGGACTAAACCAGGACTAAATCAGGACTAAAATCAGGACTAAACCAGAAGTAAAACCAGGAAAAAAACAGGACTAAAATCAAAACTAAAACCAGGATTAAACCAGGTCTAATCCAGGTCTAAACCAGGACTAAAATCTGAATTAAAACCAGGTCTAAACCAGGACTAAACCAGGACTAAAATCAGGACTAAACCAGAAGTAAAACCAGGAATAAACCAGGACTTAAATCACGACTAAAACCAGGACTAAATCAGGACTAAAACCAGGTCTAAACCAGAACAAAATCAGGACTAAAACCAGAACTAAAACCAAAACTAAACCAGAAGTAAAACCAGGAATAAACCAGGAGTAAAATCAGGACAAAAACCAAGTCTAAACCAAATCTAAACCAGGACTAAAACCAGGTCAAATACAGAGAACAAATTCCCCAATCAAGACATTACAAACCCTAATCCTACATGAAATCAACACGTTTTAACCAGAATAAACAAAAGCGTCGCTGGACTTTTCAAGTCAACATTCCCGTGTCCGAGTGATTCTAACTTTTCCACGTCGGCAGCATTCTGGAGATTCGGAACATTTAGGCAGGAGCACATTTAAGCTCGTGTCTCTTTGGCTATAATCACCGTGTGTGTGTCCCATCTGCCCACAGGCTCAGCTCCTCCGGGTGAGCGCAGCACCTGTCAGTCTGACGGCCCTGTCAGCACCGTTCATTACTTTACTATATTCAGCCTCCAGACACCTGCCCGGCAACAGTGGGAGAAAAAAAGCTGCGCGCGTTCTGATTGGCTGAATTTAGTTTGGATGAGATAAACGGCCAGTATTGACACTCATGGATCGCGCTCACTAAAGACGGATTATTGACTCCGCTGTTTACTGACCAGACCCTTTAGTGCTCCTTTAATGACTTCATTTTAACAGCTTTTTTTTTTTTCTCCTGTGTATCATCAAAGGCAGTTTTCTGAGAATGCGTTTTCACCCTCAGGGACGTAAAGATCAGGCCTTAAAGTAGCACCTACATACACCGAACTTTACTGTATTACACATAACAATATTTTGAGAGATTTGTTGATGTTTAAAGCTCCAATATTACGAAAAATGGACTCTTGTGAGCTTTAAAGGTTGTATGGAGGATTTTTTTTTGGTTTCAAATTGTCAATGATAGCATTATAGAGATGCAGTAGCCTTGTAATTATGATGACCAAAAAAAAAGAGAATAAAAATTCATCAACTCTGGACGTGGTGGGGCTAAACATTTGCCAATAGATAACGACACTGCCTCGTTATCTGTGAGCTGACAGGCTGTCAATCAAACTCCCTACGTTTCTAGTGTAACTGACTTGCCTGCGCGCTGCCGTTACGTGGTTTACGTACGCCTGTCACGCAGTCCACAGACGCAAGCCGCACAGACGCTGTTTACTCCACCAACGCAACAGTTCTTAACGGCTTTTTTTGACCTATATCTTCCTCGCAGTTCGCACAAAGTTTGTTGCAATGGCGACAAGAATCCAGGAGCAGTTCGCCGCAAAAGAAAGTCAGTTTTTGAGGTCGCTGAAAGAAGAAGACAAGGGGAAAAGCAGCGAAGCCAGCCAAACTAAGGTGATTCTTGAAGATTCATTCCAGCGATGGCGCGACTGAAGCAGACGCAGGGTCTAAAGACTGAACGCACTGGTCCACAAATTACTCCTGGACAGGAAACTTCTGCTTATTATGAAAACGTACTTTATTTCCAAGAGCTAGACAAACGTTTTTCAGGACACGAAAGTGATATCCTATGTCTGAAAACGTAATTTTCAGTGCAAAGAAAGAGTCCGCTTGCTGCTGTGTGTTGTAGCTAGTTCATTCACACTGAATCTCCGCGCAACCTTCTCTGCTCCCTTTCCTGCTCCTGTCCCCGCTGCCCGTTCCGCTCTTCCCCCTGCTCCTCACTTCTCCGGGCACGGAATCTCCGCGCACCGCTCCCTCTCCTCTCTCCCCTCTCTCTCCTCTCTCCTTCTCCCTGCTCCCTCTCCTCACTTCTTGTCCGCGAACGAAATGTCCGCACACCCCCTCCCCCGCTCCTCACTTCTCCGCCTTGCCTAACCAACACTGTACTTAGTTGTTTACAAGTCATGTGCAGCGCACCGGCTGTAAACAAACCTGTTTCTGGCGTAAGGAGGAGGAGGGAGGAGGCGTTTCTACGTAGGAGCTGTGGGGGGAGGGGGGGTGGTTTCACGCATGCGCAACATTTGAAAAAGGACAAACAGTCGCTGGATTTCTCGT